ACGAAGTGCACGGAGAGAAAACGAAAGCTCTGAAGTATAATAACGGACATGTAAAGTAAAGGTATATGCAAATTAATTTATAACCAAGAGCAAAAGCCAAATGGGACATAAGTATGTATATATATATATGTATCGATTTAAGTATGGGATAAAGGTAAACAGAGCCCTGCGCCAAATAGAACATAAAGGTCCTTGCCACAAACCCCTAAACCCCTAAACCCCTAAACCCCTAAACCCCTCAACCCCTCAACCCCTACACCCCTAAACCCCTAAACCCCTAAACCCCTAAAGCCCTAAACCCCTAAACCCCTAAACTAAACTTAACCCTAGAACCCCTAAACCCCTACAAAAACCCGCCCAAAACCCTTCTTCAAAGGAACCGAGCGGCTGAACCAGAAGCTCGACTTCGGCCACGGGCGCCACCGCATCTTGCCTCGGCTTAGGGGCTTTTTTTTTCAGCGTTTAGGGTTTAGGGCGTAGGGCTTTTGAGGGTTTAGGGTTTAGGGTAAAACACCCTAAACCCTAAACGTTTCAGGAGAGAGAGGAGTCAGCGAAAACTTTATACTCACCCTTGATAGTTGTGCTCTCGTGTATGGGGGGGGCATTTAATGTTAGGGGAGTGGATGTAAGCCTATAAACCCTACAAATCCTATAAGCCGCCTGAACCCTGCAAAAAACTCCGAAAAACCCTATAAACCCAATAGGAACCCGATAACAACCCAAGACCAACGCTTTGAAACCCATCCACCCTCATAGCATGGGCTTAAAAGCCTTGAGGGTCCAAGGGGCAGCAGCACCCAGGCCTCGTTCTGGCCCACGTCCTGAATTCGACCATAGGAGGGGGGGGGGGTGTAGGGTTTAGGGAGCAGGGGAAGGGGGGGGGGGGGTAGGGTTTAGGGACAGGGGAGGGGGGGTTGGGGGTGTAGGTTTGCGGGTTAGGGTTTGGGTTTGTTCCCCTTCCTGCACAGCTGGGGTGTGGGGTTTAGGGTTTGGGTGGGGAGGGGGGGGGGGGGGGTGCGGGGTTTTCTTCAGGGTTCAAGGTTTGCAACTTCAAGGCCACCTGCCAAGCAGACTAAGATATAGGGGCCCCTGCAAATTAGAATAGGGTTTTGTGGGGGGTGTTACGGTATACTGAGATGGTGACCATAAGAAAATACTCTCTCTCACTATTAGTATTTATTTCACCCCCCCCCCCTAAACCCTAAACCCTAAACCCTAAACCCATATTAGCCACGCTGAAGGATGCAAGACGTGACGCTTCCCATGACAGCCATACAGGGCACATCCCGGCTGCACTGAAAGAGGAACCGCCTCCGCGGTACTCCGGCCACTCCCATACGTTGAAATCTAGGGTTTCGGGTTTATATATATATATACATATATATATATATGCATATTATTATATATTATTATATATTATTATATATTATTATATATTATTATATATTATTATATATTATTATATATTATTATATATTATTTTATATCATTATATATTATTATATAATTATATATAATTATATATTATTATATATTATTATATATTTTTATATATTATTATATATTATTATATATTATTATATATTATTATATATATTTTGGTTTATAAGTTAATATCCAAAAGGTTGAAGTCTAGGGCTGGTCTCACATCGGCTCCAAGGGTTGCACGTGTCGGGAAGAGTGCAAGTTCCGGGTTTCGGGCTTGGGTCCACTTGGGGGCTAGAGAGGTGCAGGCTGGGGGAGCTCAGGGACCTTAAACCCAACAGGTCAGTGGGTTTAGGGTTTAGGGTTTAGGGTTTAGGGTTTAGGGTTTAGGGTTTAGGGTTTAGGGTTTAGGGTTTAGGGTTAAGGTGGCATCCTCGCGGATCGTCTCCAACTTCTGCAGCACCGTCTCCAGACGGAGCTGCAGCCGTCTCAGCTCCCGCTCCGCATGGGGTCGGCTCTTCTCGGGCACGTGGCCGATGTCGCCAAGGCCTCGGGAGGAGTGCGCTCGGGCTCCTTCTTGCTACCCGCAACCTTCCTTGAACCCGGGCTCTCTGAGCTACCCTCAACCGAAACCCTAAACCCATGTCTTTTCGAGGGGAGGCTGCCAGCCTCTCAGAACGGCCTAAAGCCCCAAACTCCGGGACCTTTTGTTGAGCCCGAACAGCTTAAGGCTCCAGGGTTTCGGGGTGCTCTTGTAAATCCTAAAGCCCTGAAACCGGGGCTTTTGGGCTTAAAACGGTTTAGGGCATCGAGCTTAGGGTATGGATAGGATATAAGCAGGGCTGAGGGCTTCCCCTCGCGCAAGCGCACAGACGGCAGGCACGGGGGCTTAGGGGTTTGTAGGTCATAAGTTATAAGCATCCCTCTCATAAGGTCAATGTCAGCTATGCCTACAGTCAGATATCCTACATGTATCTATGACCCTACTACTTCTCATGATCCGAGAAGGGAAATATGGGAGATCAGGTACCTACTTCCTTCCCGATATGCAACCAATCTCCCGGCACCGCAAACCTTAAAGCCTGAGCCCTGCAAAGGGTTCCAGGGATGTGGGACAAAATCGTGTCCCAGGGGCGGGCGCGCAGGAAAGCTCCAGCTTGTTGCACCTGGATTTGGAGCTTGGGGTTGGGGGTTTAGGGTTTGGGGTTTGGGATTTTGGGTTTGGTTTTGCCACCCACACAGCTGGGCGAACTGCTCAGCAGGGAAACTGAGTCCGGAAAGACACAACTCCGCGCGCGTCCCACGTGTGATTCATTAGTCACACATCCCACCAAGCAACCGCGACACATGTGTCGAACAACCCACAATACGACCAACAAAATAGAACTCACAACAGAGTTTGGGGTTTGGGGTCTGGGTTTTGCAACGCGGGGTTTACGAAAATAAGGGACCCAAACATAGACCCCCAAATAGTAGGATTCCCTCATAAGGACCCCAATAAGGTAACCCTCCCTCACATCAACTCTTGTGTTACGGACCGCAGTGGACGTCCGGCGTATCCTGCTTCCCGAGCCGCGGCTCGAAGAATATTCCCTGGGCCCTGCAACCTTTACCCAGACCCGCAGCAACATGTTTGGGGAAAGCCGAGCATCAGAGGGTTGGCCTCTGTTGCCAGTTATAAACCCCAAACCCTAAACTGTGGGGCAAGCCTTGGATTCAAGCGAGCACCTCCCTAGCAGCTGTAAAACCCTTCCCTAAACCTGAGCCCTAGAGCCTCGAACATCTTACAGACTTTTGCCCCCTCCTTTTTAACCCCCAAACCCTAAACCCTAAACCCTAAACCCCAAACCCTAACCCTAAACCCTAAATGCCCCTAAACCCCCCATGTGTGCCTTGGTCTGACACCGGTCCGCCTCCTGCCGGCATTGGGCACCGGCCCTTGATGCCTCCTCCGCAGTCATCTCAAACATGCCCTGCTCCTCAGCTAAGGTGGTTTAGGGTTTAGGGTTTAGGGTTTGGGTTTAGGGTTTAGGGTAAAGGGAGCTTGGGGTTTTAGGGTTTTAGGGATTTAGGGGCTTAGGGTGTTAGGGGCATGCCCTCAGCTAAGGGCGTTTTGAGGTTGAGGGAGCTTCGGGTGTAAAGGGCTTTAGGGTTCTAGAGGTTTAGGAGGGATTACTTAACCCTTTTTGCTCCAGATTACTGAACCCTAAACCGTACAACCCTAGAACCCTGTTTACAGGCCTTTTTGCCCTAAACCCTAAACCCTAAACCCTAAACCCTAAACCCTAAACCCTCCAAAAGCGTCCCAGCAAAAGCCTGCTGCAGCGAAGCTTCAAAGGCTGCGCGGCTGCTCGAGACCGCCTCCACCTGATCCTCGGCAGCCTGCGTGCGCTCCGCGGCTGCACCTGGGAGGTATTTGCAGGGTTTAGGGTTTAGGGTTTAGGGTTTAGGGTTTAGGGTTTAGGGTTTAGGGTTTAGGGAAAAAACAACTGGGTACCTCATACCCCTTTTTAAGGGAAACATGGGCAGCTGCTTATTCCTAGGAGAGACTTGGGTCCCTGATACCCCTTTCAAAGGAGATAGGGGAAAGCTGCTTGCCTGATGTTGAGACGAAGAGCGGAAGGCCATCTTGCCAGGCGCCGAAGACGGTCCAATGTAAACACTTCCAACTTACAAAAGCTTTAGAAAAAACTTCCGAACCCCGAGACCCCAAGTTTTTCGGGTTCTTAGGGGTCATTAGTTGGGATGTTCCCCCTTATACGAACAGTCCTTACAAAGGATTACAGTACCCCCTACTATAATCCCTATGAAGGACCGTTTGTATAAGGGGGAGCATCCCAAGTCACTAGGGCTGTTGGGGTTCCCCTCCACACCCTAAACCCTAAACCCTAAACCCTAAACCCCTTCGCGCCCAGAAGCGGAGCATCTTCTGGCAGCGGAGGTCCTCCTTGACATCGCGCAGTCGGGCCGCCACTGCGTCCAGGCCTTTCCGGAGGTGAACAAGAACACAAGCAACAAAAGGGTTCAGGGTTCAATTTTGGGGCTAAGGGTTTAGGGTTGAAAAGGAGGGCTTAGGGTTTATTGCTGCGCACGCTGAAGCCGTGGAACCGTAGTCACGGCTGTCTTGAAGGAACTTCCAAGCACTCATCAACATGCAGCGGAGCCTGCGTTGTTCTACCAGCCACCAACATCCATCCTAAGTCCCTTTATTGATTGCCTTAGTGGAATAGGGGATCCGAAGTATGGGCCCTTAATTGGGTCCCCTGTCATAATAGGATTACCTTACATACACTACACTATACATAACAGGGTAAGGGCCCAACCCCATGTCTTCGGTTCCCAGGACCGGCCATGCGTTCCGAGCCTTCCTTGCAGGTCAGCATCCGCGCCCGGAGCTCCGCCAGCTCCGCCAGCTCCGGCGGAGGCTTTGCTCCGCTGCCCTTTGCAGGCCTGCCCAACGCCTCCTGCGGATTAAGTTCTGAAGCTCAGAGTGGCGGTGGCGGACTGCTGTCAACTCTGTGGCCTAGAAGAGCACTTCAACAGGAGGCAAGTTGGCATGTAAAATGAGCGCAGAGGCATAGAACTTGCCCCGATGTGGCGTGAACCTCTGTGTAACCGCAGGCCCTACAGTACAGGAGTCTAAGGCTTGAGGAGCCAGCTTTCCTTTCTCATTAGGCCGCACGTCCTGCGCCTTCTTCCCGGCTGCCTTGGCTGCCAGCGCTCAAAACCCCGGAAGCTCTGTGTAAACCTGAGGCTTTCGGCACGTAACGTAGGGTTTGCTGAGCTGTGCTCGCTCTTTCTCTCTCCCCCCTCTCCCCCCCTCTCTCTCTGTCTCTCTCTCTCTCTCTCTCGCTCTCTCGCTCTCTCGCTCTCTCGCTCTCTGTCTATCTCTCCTTCTCTCTTTCTCTCTTTCTCTCTTTCTCTCTCTCTCTCTCTCTCTCTTCTTCTTCTTCTTCTTCTTCTTCTTCTTCTTCTTCTTCTTCTTCTTCTTCTTCTTCTTCTTCTTCCTCTTCTTCTTCTACGGGGCATGAGGGGCCCGGGGGACCCCCCCCCGCGCGCGCCTCTCCCTCTCTCTCTCTCTCGTTCTTTTTCTTTGTCTGTCTGGTGGGTGTTGGTCTCTTCCCTGGTGTTATCTCGCAGAGTCTCTCTGAAAATATGACAACTGGCCGCCACAGGCGTGCGATCATTCACGACACCCCCCTATCTGTTGTGCAGTGCAGACACATCTTGGTATCATCACTTTCAGGCTTTCCGCCTCAAACAAAGGGGGCCCACCTGAATTTGATTCCGTTTGATTGGCTTTCGCCCTGTCTTCTCGCTGAGGATTTATTCCTTTGGCCTTTTCTCAGCAACTTCCCGAGAGTGGACCGGCTACGCAAACCCTTCCACCCCCCCGCCCCCACCCACCCCTCCCCACGCAGTGGCAGGGGTTCGGGAAACGGCCCGCGTCGCTCGCGCACGACATTCCGTTAAGGGAGCGCGTGGCACCCTTCCAGTTGAAGCCTTACCGTCAATGAGAACAAAGGCTCCCACCGTGAACATGGGTGGTTTTGGGATCTGTCTTCGTTTGAGATCGTAAGGGTTCCTCGACTTCTGGCTGTGAACACGAAGTTGAGGGCATCTGCCACGGGCTGGCGAGAGGGAGCCTAGAGCCCAAGTGGCATCTCTGTCTCTTTCCCCCTCTCTCTTTCGCAGACTTGGGTTCGTCAGCTGAGTTGTGCGATTGTTTACAAAGCAAACGAGGTCGGTTGAGGTGCAAAGAGCCCTCCTACCCCTGTGACAGCAAATCATTCGGCAGCCCCTCTTCATCACTTTTCAAGGAACACCTACATGCTGAGGAGGGGAGGGGGATGATCCATCCAGCAAACCCGAGACATCAACCGAAGCTCCCACGGTTTAAAAATTTAGGACACAAGCCATCGTCCGCCCCGCGGCCAGCGCTTTCAGCCAAGCCAGAAGATCGGCTTCCAACTTCTGCAGCGCATCGGGGGCCAAGTCGCCAGCATCAAGCGCGATGTTGGCTTCCTGCGTGCGGGGGGGGTGGGGGGGGAGGGATCGTTTAGGAGTGAAGGGGATGCTCGGGCTCCGAATCCTTCTGAAGGTTCGCGGGGGGCTGAAAGTGAAACAACGGCGGAGAAATCTGTCCTTCTCGCCCCCAAATCTCTCCAAACCCAGGCCAGCCCTTCAGCCCCAAACCCTTTGCAACAGGCTTCGCACCTCGCCTGGAGTCGTACCCCCTCCACTGCCTAACCCAAGCGAGGAACCCTAAACACTAAACCCTAAACCCTAACCCCAAACCCCAAACCCTAAACCCTAAACCCTCAACCCCCCCACCCTGTGTCCTGGACGCCCGACTCCACCTGCGCCAGCGTCCCCGCCAGCTCCGCCAGCGCCGCGGTGTCGACGGGCGGAGGCTTCGGGGCTCGGAGCGGCCTGAGCTCGGCCTGGAGGTTTAGGGTTTATGGTTTAGGGTTTAGGGGTTTGGGGTTTAGGGTTTGGGGTTTAGGGTTCCACGCTTGGCTTAGTGGTCTAGGGCCACTGCAGGGTTTCGGATTGAGGGAAGCTTTTTGAGGCTGTCGGGTGCTTTCGAGGTTTGGTCTGTCCTGCCATTATTCAATGTGCTCTCCGGTTTTGCGTTTTGAAGCCGACTGTTCTTGTAGGCCTTTCAAGTGCTAAGATTTTTAGCAGACTTCTTTTGGTTGCTGTTTGAGGCGGCTTAGGGTTGAGGGCGTTGGGAGGGGTGGGGCTTTCGGGTGTTGAAGTTATGATTCTTGACATTTGGCTTTCAAGGTTCGACCACGATTGGGAGCGCAGTGGGGCTCGGAGGCTTGGGGCTTAGGGAGCATGACTTCGAGGACTAGTCGCCGTGGCTAAGAGCTACAGGCGTAGGGCCTTCGGGGCTTAGGGCTTAGGGGATTTTGCAGTCTAGGCCCAAGGATCACCGGCAAAGGGGCCTCAACGTACCCCGAAAAACAAGAAACCCCACCCCCCCAAACCCTAAGGGTTTAAGCCCCAAACCCTGAACCCCCAAGCCTTATGAACCTCTGTTCAAGCGACCCCTCTCATGACCATGTATCGGGGGGCCTCAAGGCGTTGGAGCTTCTTCTGCAGCTTTGCGTATTCCGTGGCGGCCAAGTTCCTCGACAGAGGTCCCAAAAGCTCGAGAAGAGTGTAGGGTTTAGCCTTTTGAGGTCTATTGGGCCTTTCGGGCGCAAGCTTTTTGAGTTTTTAGGGTCTTGGGCTTTGAATTTTGAGGTTCAGTGGTCGTCGCCGTTTCCTGCGGCAACGTGGGGCCACCTTCGTGCATGTGTCGCTCTAGGTCGGCTCCTCATGAAGGTTTTCCCTAGACCCGCAACCCTAAACCACTTGATGTGCTTGCCCAGAAAAGAGGCCATGCTCCCTTAAGCCAAGCGTCTCACCCTTACAGCGAGTCCGTCCACTTCACGCTGCCGCTTTAACGCACTCAGGAATTGAAGTCTAGAGGGTTTGGGGTTGAGGGTGCGTCGGGCTTTGAGTTTATAGAAACCCTAAACCCTAAACCCTAAACCCTAAACCGGTGTGCGGAGTAGGGCGGGCCCCGGACTGTGTGGTGGTTGACGGGCTTCGGGCCAAGAGCACACGTAGCTGCAACCAACTTCAGGCCTCACTCTCACCGACCCATGACCAGAACGGGTCCACTCAAATGTCCATAAACTCAACCCTAAACCCTAAATCCTAAACCCTCTAAACCCTCAACCCCAAATCCTAAACCCTAAACGCTTGATCACACTCAAGGGGTGGACCTGGAGCATCATTGAAAAGCCAAGGTTCCGGACGCGAGGGGTGAACTTTCTAGCCGCTGCCACTTGCCTCCGCCATCTTCCCAGCGGCACGTGGTGGGTTCACTACATTCCCCTACGGTAGGGTCCCTCTTTGGGCATTATGACACGCGCGCCCCCTGTTTCTTGATATTTCTTGGGCATACTTTAGAGAACTGGCCATTGTCGATTTCAGCGTCGAGAGCTCAACGGCTCAGACTTCGTGACGGTCCTTGAGCTCAGGGTTCAGCAAATCCCGCCGCCCCCCTGTTGCTACATGCTTCAAGGCTCTCCCCCTGGTACCCTACCCTAAACCCACAACCCTGGTACCCTAAACCCTAAACCCTAAACCCTCAACCCTAAACCCTAAACCCAAACCCTGGTACCCTAAACCCGAGACGCCGACCCGGCCTGGCTGCAACGGCTCTTGCTGCTTTCAGGGCCTTCTCCGCCTCAGGGTTCCCGGCGGGAGTTTAGGGTTTAGGGTTTAGGGTTTAGGGTTTAGGGTTTAGGGTTTAGGGTTTAGGGTCTAGGGTCTAGGGCTTAGGTTTCAAGGCTTTTTTCCCTCCGGCACAGCTGGGGCGATGGTTTTTGGGGTTTAGGGTCAACCCTGAAAGCCTTTTTTTTGAGACCCTAAACCCTAAACCCTCACCCTAAACCCTAAACCCTAAACCCTGAACCCTGAACCGTGAACCCTAAACCCTATAAACCCTAAAAGGGTTCCGCTCTTTGGAGGTCTATTGGGGCCTGCTCGGCCAGCTCGTCGAGCGGATTTCTCGGCCCGCCGGCCTTCGAGGAGTTGGAGGCAAAGTCTCGGGCTTCAGGAGTCTCCAAAAACTTGGGCGACTTGTGTGTTAATGGTTAAGTTGGCGGCTCGTACAAATACATAAATAAGCAAAAAATAGACTAATAAATAAATGAGTAAGTAAGCACATATATATATATATATATATATATTTATTTATTTGTTTTTATATTTTTATTAATTTATGCATTTATGTGTTTATTTGTTCGTTTATATTTATTTATATTTATTTATATTTATTTATATTTATTTATATTTATTTATATTTATTTATATTTATTTATTGATTTATGCATTTATGTGTTTATTTGTTCGTTTATTTAAGGTGTGTCTATATTTGCATATTTTCCCATGTATATTTTTTGTGCTACCTCGTGCACATGTGTGTTTGCTCAGGCTGCTTGGGGGGTTGTTTGGTTTGCGGGCGATGTGCAGGGGCTGCTGGCAAGATCGTTTTGAAGAGCTGAAGGGTTACGTGAGTTCTTCAGGAGATCTCTGGACAATGTGCATGTAGCGGAAGAAAGGGTTCAGGGTTCAGGGTTTAGGCCCGTATCTTGCGCAGACATTCTCATATTGTGGTAGCATAATATATATATATATATATATGTATATGTTGTATATGTATGTATGTATATATAGGAACTCTAGACCACTTGGTTTCAACCAGACAAAAGACACCGTTCCTCAAAACTCCGTGAGCCTTGTCCAGGGAGAGGAGGGAGTGGAGCTTCTCCTCCGCCTCGTGCAGGCTGTCGGCGGCCTCGGACCTTTGTTTGTCCGGTTTAGGGTTTAGGGTTTAGGGTTTAGGGTTTAGGGTTTAGGGTTTAGGGTTTAGGGTTTAGGGTTTAGGGTTTAGGGTTTAGGGTTTAGGTTTTTTTTTGGGGGGGGTTGGTGGGTTTGTTTTCTGAATGGAGGGTCTAGGGCTTCGACTACACTCGCACACAGCAGGCAAGGGTTTTGGCCACCCGCCACGCCAAGCAGATTTAAAACGCGAACATTAGCATCTAGCATAGCCTGCGAGCAAAAGCCGCTTATAAGGGAACCTAGACCCAAAACAAGAGCAAGGGCCTACTGTGGGTCCTAGTCTTGGGTTCTCTTTCAAAACATCCCGAAGCCTGGTGAGAGGGGAAAGTGAGGGTATCAGGCAGTATCAGGCCCCGGGGTTTAGGATTTAGGGCTTAGGGTTTGGGTCCGACTATGGCTTGGCTTCCGTGCGTTTAATGGGCGAACTGCCTGGCAACTGAGCCAGAGCAGCCAGGGCGAAGCACAAAGTCGCACCAACAGCTCTGTGCAACAGGACATTGTACAAATGAATATATATATATATATATGTATATTATGTATTTTGTAGTATATAATGTATTCTATGCTATACACAGCATAAACTGTATATTATAATATATAATATCTTGTATATATGCTCTACTATACATCTTGCACTTATTTCATTCCCCCGCATATCAACCCTCCCCCCTGCCCCCAAACATTAGATGCTCCATTGATAGTGGTTTTTTGTAATTGCGTATGGGGAGTATGCATTCTTCGGGGAAGGGTGGGGTGGGGGGGAGGGACCCTAAACCCTAAACCCTAAACCGGAAGAAAAAAAAATCATATCAGGGGGAAGGGACTATATACACCTGAAAGGGGGCATGGCCGCAAGGGGCCTGAGCTCGGAGCAGCCTAGGCACAAGTCCGCTCGGAGCTGCCCCGCATGCTGGTCCTCCTGGCTTCGTAAAGGGTTTAGGGTTTAGGGTTTAGGGTTTAGGGTTTAGGGTTTAGGAGTTCAGGGGTTCAGGGGTTCAGGGGTTCAGGGGTTCAGGGGTTCAGGGTTTGGGGTGAATTTGCCGTAGCCCATATACATAATTTGTTTTAATGCAATGTTCTTTTAAATCTAGGTGTTCTTATACTTCTAAATTTACATGTGCACTTAGACCTATGTCTTGATCCCAACTTCTTTAATACCAAATGTTATCAATTCTGAAAGAAGCCCTGAAGGCCAAGGGACCCCTTTCGGCCAGGTGCTCCAGGTTGTTAAAACACTCTCATGAAAAATGCAAGGCTTAAGTTTAAGTGTTGCAGGGAGCGGTTTATTTAGCATGGGTATGCTGGGCAGTTGCGATGTAATTATCTAGGCCTTAGGGGATTTGGGATATACTTTGGCTGCTGCATTGCGGACGACGCGCCGCCCTCAGAAGTAAGTGAAGGCAGCGGTTCTTGGGATCAGCGTATGCTGAGCAGTGGAGACATGTCAGAATAATGGCCCCTACCCGGCTTAAGAACCCGATCCGTACTTCAAGGGCCCAGACGGGAAAAACAACAAAAACTGCACCCTCCTCCGGATTCGTCGTCTCCAATTTCGGAGGCTGCAATACCAGATCCTGTGCCTGGCCCAAGACTTGTGCCAGGCTACCTCAGGCGGGTCGTCGACTTGCAGGGGAAAGACCCACACAAGTACCCACGAGGGTAACCCTATGAATATCAAGAATGACGATGCCCCGGTGATACTGATGATGTGCATGGAAACCGTGCTGATAGTCATGATGACATAATGACAACCCTATCAATAAGAACCCTAATGCATGAGTGCTTGGTTGGGCGTTTGTTCTGAATCTTCTTATGGGGGTACGTAGGTACATATAGGGGAAGCTGATTTTCCGCAGGCGCAAAGCACATGAAAAACCCCAACCACCTGTCCTAAACCATTCGTACCACCATCGACGCTAACTTTAAACAGACCCTTACACGGAAACCCTGAACCTGAATGACGGATGGCCTCTGTTAGAACCGGCTTACAGGTATTATGGTCCATGAGCAGAGAAATACTCAACTCTTCGTCTCCAAGGCGCCAGAAACAAGTAAGCCTCCTAGAGCTCCTACACCCTTAGAGCTACAACCCCCCCCGAAATAAACTAGACCCTTGCTCCCCCAAAAACCCGACTACTGAAGGGCCTCAAGAAGAAGCGAGGAGCTCTGCACGGAGCGCACTCGAGGCGTAAGCTTCCTCGGCTTTGCCGGCGACGCAGGAGTTAGGGGTTTAGGGGTTTAGGGGTTTAGGGTTTAGGGTTTAGGGTGTAGGGTTTAGGGTTTAGGGTAGGAGCACTGCGACTGCAGTCGCAAGCAGCCATCTTTAACAGTTCACCGGGTCGAACCCCAGGAGCGCAGAACCGAGTGCTCTCCAACCAGCATGTTGTAACAGTGTACAGGTTTAGGGTCCAAGGTGCCCTCTGTAGAATAGGGTTTTCAGGGAATAGCTGGCAGTGGTAGTTATTCCGAACCCCTAACCCTAAACCCTCAACCCTAAACCCTTAACCCTTAACCCTCCTGTAGTCAAAAAACAGCCCAGAGCTGGAAAGTGGAGCAGAGCTTCGTGAGCTCTGGGAGGATCTCTCTCGAGCTACGTCTCGCCTTGACAATGTCCGCGGCCAAGGACTGATGCACCTGGCCCTAAACCCTAAACCCTAAACCCTAAACCCGAAACCCTAAACCCGAAACCCTAAACCCTAAACCCTAAACCCTAGCAAAAAAGTACACGAATGAGAGCCTTCAGGCCCTCTGGGGAGTCCAGGACTGTAGGGAGTCTAGGCGGCCTAGGGGTAAGGGTTTAGGGTTTAGGGTTTAGGGTTTAGGGTTTAGGGTTTAGGGTTTAGGGTTTAGGGTTTAGGGCGTAGGGCCACAGTCGGAACCTGAAGAATGGGAGCCTCCAAAAGCGACTCCAGCTGGGCTTGCACCGACTCCACGACGGTGCGGGCGACATCCTCAGGCACCTCGCCTCAACGTGTATGGATTTTCCCATTTCTTAATTCCAGGATGAAAGGGATTTCGGAACAGCCTCTGAGAAAATCTGCTTGTTCCCGAGACCCTAAGACCCGACATCCTTCTTCAACGGGTCTCTCTAGTGCTGAAACCTTAAAGCGCCCCCAAGTCCTACACACTTGGAGCTTGATGGGTATATTGGTACCTCAAACGTAGCTGAAAAACGGTGCTACATAGCCCTAAACTCTTCTGAACCCGGAACCGAGGACCATGTCGGATGCACGAGCCGAAAGACTCACAACAGAAGCAAGCACCTGTGGCCCAGTTACCCCTAGACCCTGAAGCCCTCCTTGCCAAACCCTCAACACGAACCCCAAACGCGAAACCCATGAGTCCGTCAAGTAGGGGTCTTTGGCATTGGAAAACTCGCTGAGGGCTATGTTTCCGGGGAGGTTGGCCCTGGGGGTTTGTTTTCTTGGTTTTGGGGGGGTTGGAGGACTTTAGATTCTCCTTGGTGCACTTCTCTCGATGTGTGCGTGTAATTCTTGCGCTTGGTTGAGGGTTTAGGGCTTAGGGAAGGGGGCGAAGGGGGGGAGGGCAGTTTCAGGGTTCTTGAGAGCCCTGAATGAGGGGTCTGACCTTCAAGGGTTCCGCAGTTGCATTGGGAAGCCCTACACCATCAACCCCCTGTTTGCTTGGCCCGAGGCCGGCCATCAGAAACCAGTTTGGCCCTAAAACCCTTTTCCTAATAAACCCTAAACCCCACAGTGAATAGAAGTTGTATGTGGTATCGTTCTGAATCCCCAAGTTATTGGTCCAAAAAGCTCATCCCATGCGCCTCTGGGGGTCCACGTGCTCCATTCACTTACTTTGGGTTTAGGGTTTAGGGTTTAGGGTTTGGGGTTTGGGGTTTAGGGTTTGGGGTTCAGGGTTCAGGGTTTAGGGTTTGGGGTTGATGCCGTCCCCTCCAAGCTTCTGATTCCCAAACAGCAGCCCTCGGCAGGTCAAAGCTTTCTGTCAAAACATGTCGGTCAAAGTTTTCGTTCAGCTTGTTCATTCAAATCCTTTCGCTCAAGACATGCCTTCAAAAGCTTTTGTTCGAAACTTGGAGCGAAACACTTCTATGCAACACTTTCGTTCAGAGCGTTCGGTCAACACGTTCGTTCAATACGTTCGCTCAAACTTTCGTTCATATCGTTTTTGGGAACCAAACCCACATACGGTTTCTGCACAGCAGGTCTTAAAAGGAGGCCGCCCTGAACCGGCCACGTTTCGAAACAACATCCAGCCACGGGATTCAATGATTGTGAAAGAGTAGAGTCTGGAAACGAAGCTTTCGCTGAAAAAGTTGTGGACCCGAACCCTATACAATTTGGATCCTTCCTAGGTTTACATTATACATCAGATATTATCTCAGCAGATTTTTCTCATTTCTTTCTAATTAGAGAAATATATCATGGATGGTGTTTACGTCATCTTCCCTCTAATGGTGTATCATCTGTCTTTCTTTGCATATTTCTTCATCTTGGAAGAGCTATATCTTATGCTTCTTAACTTGTAGAATCCAAATACTTGATATTCCGGAAATATTTTTCCCCAACAGCGGGCACGCTTGGGGTTTGCAATCTGGTAAGGGAGAAGGTCGGTGACTAGATTTTGTGCACGGCTTCGCGGAAAGGTAAGGGACGTGTGCGCGCGCCAAACTACTGTAACTTTTTGCGCCTGGGCAATTAAAAGGTAGTCTTCGGGGAGTCCACCGAGGAAGGAAAACAGCGCCAGGCAGTTTGAGCGCACTAACATGCCTGTGCAAGCAGAATGAGATCCATGTGTGCTGCCGAAAAAAAGATATGTGTATGTGCGTTCGCAGCACACAGCACGCACTAACATGTCTGTGCAAGCAGAATGAGATCCATGTGGGCTGGCCGCATATATGTCTGTGTATGCGCGAAGCAAGTTTTTGTTCCTATAGTTTTTGGCCCTTGCTTCTGCAACCGCTTTCTTGCCGTAAAAATATGCCTACCCAGCAGTTGCTGTCTGTGTGGTCGTATACCACGCAGCTATTTAGCGCAAGAACAGATGCGTGGCGACGGACAGCCGAGATTGTCTCGCCGGAATCTTTGCGTGCCAAAAGATATGTGTGTGTGTGTGTGCGCGCGAAGCAAGTTTTGGTTCCTATAGTTTTTAGCCCTTGCTTTTGCAACCACTTTGTTGCCGCAAAAAACGCCTACCCAACACCTGATGATGTCTGTGTGGTCGTGTAAGACGCGGCTGCTTAGCCGCAAGAACAGATCCGTGCGAACGGCGAGACACCCATGTGTGCCCGCGCAACAGCATTCGTGCACGATCTTGTCGCGAACCTTTCCGTGCGTCGCGCCGGAGTGTGTCGCGCCGGACGCAGCACGCGGCACGGAGAGCGCAACAGCGAATGCAGCAGTATCTTGATATGAATATTTTTGAAAATACACACGATATTTATGCGAACAGAATGAGATCCATGTGTGCTCGCATCAAACGCAGCAGTTGACTCACAAGACCGCGACGGACAGCCGAGATTGTCACGCCGTCGGAATCAAAAGATGTGTGTGTATGCGCGCGTAGCAAGTTTTGGTTCCCCAACAGCGAGTACTCTTGGGGTTTGTAATCTGGTGAGACCAAGCCTTGCTCCCCCAGATTTTTGAAGATCTTTGGGGCAACCAAACTCTGCGCACCACTGCGCTAAACTCTGCACCTGAGGAAACGCACATTGTATTTCAGCAATCACCCCCCCTCCCCCACTAAGCAAAACCAAACTCTGTACCAGGGTTTATGCTTATCTGGCCCCACAATATTGAAAAATGGGCAAAACTCAATATTTCAATATTGGGCTGGATCCAAGATCCAAGATCCAAGATCCAATCCGCAGAAAGTGTTTCAAGGTGATGCAAAAAAGCCCCTGCTATGGTCGAGTGAGAGTTTAGGGCGGCGGCATACAAATATTCAGGCCCTCTGGAAAGAAGAGAGGACGAGGGAAAAGAAGAACCGATTACGAAAAAACAATGCTCTAATTTAGGTTTTAGGGTTGACGGTCTAAAAAACTACATATATATATATAAACAAATATAAATATACTTTCAAGTACATGTATATATATATACACATATATATTGCTAAAACATGAACGCCGGTTGCCTCTAACATAAAAGCTTCTTGTGTAAAAAACCATGCTTGTTAAAACAACAGGCCCTTATGCTAACCGCTTGTTCCATTCACAAAAGTCTCTTGTAAGCGCTTAAAGCTGATATAAGTGTCTATTGAATGAAGGGTCAGGGCATAGCAAGACAACGGTTGCGAAAGCAAAGGCTAAAAGCAATAGTAATGTAGGAACCAAACAGATATTTTAATATACGCAAAGATTCCGCCGGCGAGGCAACCTCGGCTGTCCGTCGTGGTCTTGTGACTAAACTGCTGCTTTTCTGCGCGCGCACGTGGATCTCATTCTGTTCGCACAACCATCGTGTATATATTCATATCAAAATGTTGCTGCATTCGCGCTGTCGTTCGCCACGCGAACGCGCGCGTTCAAATTGCCTGGCGTTGCAACGGGAGAGCCGGTATGTCATCGAAAGATCATAGCAAGAAAGCGGTTGCAAACGCAAAGGCTAAAAACAATAGGTCAATAGGAACCAAAACTTGTTGCGATTTGTCATTTTGGAAGACAGCTTGCCCCAAAACTCTTGGGGGTTTAGGGCGTGGCTTGGGCTATAGGGTTTGTGACGGGGCCGAGGCTGGGGGTTTGGGCTTCAAGGTTATAGGGGTTGAGGTTTGGGGTTGAGGGATATATACAGTTTTGACTAGGGTTGGTTGTTTTGTTGTTGAGGGTTCAGGGACTTAGGGTTGTGGTCTCTTGGGCTTGCGGATGGAGATGTAGAGTTCAACGGTGGTTTGGGGTTTAGGGTCTAAAGTGGGGTACTGCTTCGGGTTGATGATTAAACCCCAAGCAACAAGCCATAAACCTCAAACGCCAAACCCTAATTAAACCTTTCTTAGATGTATCAAAGAAAAAATACTCAGGGGTCATGGTGAAGTTTTGGGGTTTTGGGACTCTGGGTGTTTAGGGTCTGCGTCTTTGGGTGGTTTGGGGTGGAGTTTGGGTTGGGGGGTTTGCGGTTTGGGATTCCTCCTTTGAGGTTTTTTTGTTGGGGGGGAGGGTGATGTTTGGGTTGTTTACCCCGAAGGGTTGGCGGGGTGGCGCAGGTTTTTTTTTTGGGGAGGGGGGGCTTGGGGTCGTCACGGCTTCAGAATTTCGGGTGCTCAGGATTCATGATTTCGGGGTTGAGGGTCTGTTTGGGTTTCAGAGATTTTTTTTAGGGGAGTACAATAACTCGAGTTAACTCGGGTTGGCTCTGGGAGTTAAAAGGAAAATAAGAGGTTTTGGGGAGTTAACTCGAGTTAAGTCGAGTTGGCTCTGAGAGTTAGCTCCAGTTAACTCGGGTTGGGTCTGACAGTTAACTCGAGTTAACTCGGGTTAACTCCCCTGCCCCTGAAACACCAAACCCTAAACCCTGAATCCCATGCCCTAAGCCCTAAAATCCTAAACCCTCAGCCCTCAATCCAAAACCCTGGACTCGGAGCCCTAGACCTAATCCCTAAACATGAGCGCCTAAACATCACCTTGAACCCGAAACCCTAAAGTCTGAACCTAAGACCCCTGTATATATTAAGCCCTTTCATCGACATAGTCGATCCAAAACTTCAACTCCAAATACAAGTGAATAAATACATGAACCAAAATCAAAAACTCACAAGAAACACACACACATATATATATATATACATATATATATATAAACACATATAAACGCGAAGCCGTAAATTTTACAACAGGGGAGGCTGCGGGGGCCTGTTTGTTAGAATGAGTTTGTTGCGCTGTTTGCTTTCTCGTTTTTTGTTGGATCGTGACGGCCGATGTTAAAAACATCGAAACAGACAAGACCGCTTTCCAAAAGAATGTGGACTCTTGGTCCCTGGTTGTTGCCGCCCCGCTTCCCCCAATATTGAAGTATTGAAGCCCTTTCAATATTGGGCTGGATCCAAGGTACGATGTCCAAAGATTTCGCAAAACAATCTTGGATCCAGCCAGGACACTCCCCCAAATATTGAAGTATTGAAACCCTTTCAATATTCCAAGGTTGGGCCCAGCCTGCGCTCTGGATCCAAGATGACCTCCAAAAAAACTGTGGAATCTTGAATCTTGGATCCAGCCCAATGTTGAAATATTGAGTTTTTAAAATGTTTCAATATTGCGCCCAACCTAGGCCGTGGAACCAGATTAGTAAACAACAACTAAGGAGCTGTCATTGAGTGTTCATTGAAGGACAGATTCCCACAGCGTTCCACTTCAAACAATATGTATATATATATATCTCTTCATATATGTGTGTGTGTGTGTGTGTGTGTTTTAATTAGATATTTGCGTAATTATGCAGGCTTTAGTGCAGAGTTGAGGCTTGGATGACAACTGAAATACAATGCGTTAGCTAAGGTACAGTGTTTAGTACAGAGTTCAGGCTTTGCTTTTTTTTTTGGGGGGGGGGGGGATACAATGCGCTAGCTAAGGTACAGTGTCTGCACAGAGTTTAAATTTTGCTTCTTGGGATGATTACTGAAGTTGCAAAGCGTTAGCTAAGGTACAGTGTAGTGCAAAGTTTTGGTTTTGCCTGTTGGGGGGTGATCGCTCGAGGTACACGTATCAGTGCAGAGTTTGGTTTGGTTTGCTTGTCTGGGGATGAGAACTGAAATACAATGTGTTAGCTAAGGTACAGTGTTTAGTTCAGAGTTCAAGTTAAGCTGCTTGCTTATCAGCTTATCAGGGGGAGGTGCGGGGGGGGGGGGGGGGGCTGATTTTAGCTATTCAATATGTGTTAGTTTAAAAGAGCTTAGGTTTTGCTCATTGGGGGATGATTGTTTGAGTAAAGTTTTAAGTACAAAGCTTAGGTTTTGCTTATTGGGGGATGTTTACTGAAATACAGCCGGTGTTTTCACAGCTTCGAGCAAAACATCCCGAACACAAAAGCCGAAGAGACATAGCACAGAAGAAGAGCAAGGTGGATCAGAACATCCCAGAAAGAGTGAAAGGATATCTGCTCACCTGTGGGAAAAGCTGCTGTGTGCTGCTTCTTTGGGTTGGCCTTCTTACTCTGCTCGGAAGCCATGCCATGACTACGGTGACAATCTTTTAAAACAACTTGAGCCAGTATGCGCATGGAAAGCCTGCATGCACGGAAAAACAGCATTCATGCTGCACTTGTTGCACAGGTAATTGGCAGTGTCGGGCCCTTCCTCCCTCCCTGCATCCCTGTGTCACGAAGCAACATGTAGATTTACTTCCTTCCATTTGCCCCACAATAAGAAGAATAAGCGTTTATATTATGGACAATAAGCGTTTATGTTTTATACAATAAGCGTTTATATTAAAGCCCCTTTATAAAGGCGTACACGTTTATCAGAATAGACGTTAATTTTCAAGAGACTATTGGAAGATCAAGGTGATCTTTCGACGACATACCGGCTCTCCCGTTTCAACGCCAGGCAATTTGAATGCGCGCGCGTGGCTTAGCGACAGCTCGAATGCAGCCGTGTTTTGATATGAATATATACACGATATGTGTGCAAACAGAATGAAATCCACGAGCGCGCGCAGGAAACGTAGCAGTTGTGTCACAAGACCGCGACGGACAGCCGAGGCTGTATGGCCGGCGGAATCTTTGCGCGCAAAAAGATATCTGTATGTGCGCACGCAGCAAGTTTTGTTTCCTATAGTTTCTAGCCCTTGCTTTTGCCACCGCTTTCTTGCCGTAAAGATGTGCCTGTCCAACAACTGGACATTGCTTCAATCTTGCGAGGTTTCCTTTTCGAATCCGTTTGCAAAAACGACTACACGCCGGCTGATGATATCCCACGCTGTTGGGGTCTGTTGCTGCTGAGATAATTTTACTTCTTCGTAATGGGAACAGCCCAACACTAAACCTTAAACCGCGAACCCGGTTGATTCGGCCTTCGAGCATGGCGACCGCCGTCTCCAAGACCTCGAGGTGGAGACTCCGGCTCGGCTTGGGTTTAGGGCTTCAGGGGTTTAGGCTTTATCGGTTTATCGGTTTAGGGTTCAGGGTTTAGGGTTTGGGGTTTAGAGCTTCAGGGGTTTAGGGTTGACAAGGCTACAGGGTTTAGGGTTTGGGGTCTGGGGGTTGGGGTTAGGGTTCAGTATGTATTGCACGGTAAGGGACCAACACACCTGGGCCGCCGCTCTCACTTGAACCGAGGGTTTTGGGCTTGGCCAACACTTTCTCCCTAGGTTTAGGGAGTTTTTTTTTGGGGGGAGGGGGGGGGGGCGGATTATAGGGCTTTTTGGTTGTGTTTCTTTGGCATTCCTCTCCCCAGACAAGTGCGTAGTCCAGCTCGAAACTTTGAAGATCCACCCGCGCCATCCTCAGGACCCCCCCCCCCCACCCGGTCCTCCCCCCACCAAGCAGGACCTCCATGCAGCACGAACGCCACTGCCGGCACAATCTCCATCCCATGAGCGGCAACACACAACATCATGTAGCCATCTACGGAATCTTCGGGCAGCCCTGACCTGGGAAATGCCCTGAAAGCATAAGGGTCCTTAAGGGGGAGGGTTTCATTGGAGGTACGTACTTAGGGAACTGTAGCCTCGGGGTACAAACCCCTCCCTGAGGTATTCGTAGGTCGCCCAATAGGGAACTGTAGCCTCGGGTTACAAACCCCTCCCTGAGGCATTCGTAGGTCGCCCAATAGGTTTTTGTTTATCTGAGGACTTAGGGTTACAGTTGATACTTCACGTCAGGTTTTTGATGGGCCGAAAGGCTAAACTAAACCAATGATCGCTTTCGAAGTCCGTTGCCCATGGCGCCAGGACCACCCTCCCTCCCAGAAGTCTGGGGGCACCCTACCTGCGTTGCCTCCGCTTCGACCAAAGCCACCTGCTCCGACTCGGGTTTGGGATGTTGCAAGCTCCAGACCCACTTTAAGGCATGGGCAAGACACGGTCCGATCCCTAAGAAAGGACGGGCCCATAGTTCTAGGTTGAGGCGGTTTGGGCCTGAGGTTTTCGGTTTCTGGGGCCACGGGGCTCTGGGTCCAGTGGAAGCACAAAATGCGCCTGATCTCTGGCCAGCAATAGCTGCTCCTGCTGCTCTTCTGATGGTGCTTGTTCCACATCTTCCTGGAGGAAAGCTCCCACCAGTCAGGCTATGTAATTGCTCTTAATTGCACTCTGCCTGAAGCACTGGCCATACAACGAGGGACCAAGAGAATCAGTGCCGAATCTTATGCCCAAATGCCAATCTCCATAGTGCGGGCCTTCAATGCCCCACAAAGCACACACATACTAAAACCACACCTCTTTCACCTCTTCCTTTGTGGGTGCTGGAGTTGGAGGAGAAAGTCGACGGACCTTGAGCGGATTCGGACTTGAGAGGGGGAGAGAGTGGCACTCACTTTGCGCAAAAAGCTGCTAGGAACATCTTGCTACGCAGAGACCCCTCAGCCCCCTTCCTCCCTCCCCCCCCCCCCCCATACACCCCCGACCCTTCCCCTGCTTCCCCCCTCCAACTTCCTCCCTTGCCACTTGCTTCCCCCGCGCCTGCAAGTGGTCGCTCACCGCCCCGTCCCAGGGGATGCGCCAGCCGCTTGAGGGGGGCCGGTCCTCTGCTGCCTCGCATCGACTCCAGACCTGGTCGGGGGGCGTTGTGGAGTTTCCTGAACAGGGATCATAAATGGGGGGGGGGGGGGGGGAATATAAGGGGGAACATGCCAAGTTGTAGGGGGTTACAGGGTTTGTAAGGTTTAGGGCTTGGGGGTAGCCTTCTTCGAGTTTTGGGATCGGAGCTCTTGTCGCTGACCAAGACGACGAAGGCACGAAGAAGAAGGAAGCATCTGGGAGGCGTCTCCGAAAAAGATTAGTTGCTCTGCTGCTTGCAGATCATCTTCCCCCGCAAGTCGTTTGCCAGAGTTGCTTCCCGAAATGCCCCCACAAGAAAAAAATCTCCCACGACCCCCGTCTACTCTCTTAACCTCCAGCCCCCATCCAGATAACCCCAAGCCCTAGCCTAGGCCTTGAGCCACCCACGAACGCTGAATCCTAAGCCCTAAACCCTAAACCCTAAACCCTACACCCTAAACCCTAAACCCTAACCTAAAACCTAGCCCTAAACCCTATCTCAGACAGGAGGCGAGCGAGGCGCCCACGGACTGCCCCAGCCACCTGGAAGCCCAGAGCGTGAAGGACACTGGGGGCTTTATGAGCCTTATTCCATGGTTTAGGGTTTAGGGTTTAGGGTTTATAGGGTTTAGGGGTTATAAGGCTCGGAATCGAGTTCAAGGAATAGTGGCATTTGGTGCTTCGGCGTTCAGGGAATGCATCTGTACGACATGAAAGCCCCTAAGCCTCTCTAATGTAATTCGGTGGGTCAGGTCGCCACCCGACAAAGTCTGGCCCGTCGCGCAAGTCCCAGAAGTAGAGGTAGATCTCCTTTCCATGTTCAAGAAGGGTGGGCGGGTTTAGGGCTTAGGGTTTAGGATTTCTTTCCATGTTCAAGAGTGGGGTTGAGGGCACTCAGGTTTCGGGCTCGAGGTTGAGGGTTCAGGGGGTTCAGAACTCGAGGATTTGAGATCAGGACTTCGAGCTGGGACCCTTTGGTCCTTCGGGCGCTTGAACGCTCAATAATATCTTCTCAAATCCTGAACCCAAACAAAACTCAAGCACCATCAACACCCTAAACCCCCGAGGCACCCTAAACCCGTTTTCAGTCCAGACTCCCGACGTCCTACCCTCAACCCTAAGCCCGCGCAGCTGGCTGCCTCCGCCTCCTCGGAAGTTCGCCGGCGGCGGAAGAACGGCTTGCCGTGGTTGCGGCCTGGCGTTAGCTTCTTCCTGCGGGGGAGCTGGGACAAACCCGAACGCCTAATGAAACACAAATGGCACCCGGGACCCGGAGAAGAAAAAGTCACAATCCAGAAGCCCTCAACCCAAGAAGCTAAACGACACCTGTTTGGCTTTGCAGTTGGGAAAAGCCCATTCCTCTGGTACTTCTCTTCTGTTTGGCATCTTACTCCACGCTCAGGAACCCCAAACCCTAAACCGAACCCGAAACCCCAAAATATACGTAAACACTAAACTAAACCCTAAAACCCTAAATTCACAATCGCGTCGTGCCTGTCTGCTCGTATTCCCCCGCAAGTGTCGTAAGCTCAGGCTCGTCGACGGCAGTCGACGAAACCACGAAAACCTCCTGAAGTGCTGGGATTGGGGGCTGCTTGCACATCCTTTTCGGTTGCAACAGCCATTCCTGCACCTGGATCATTCATTTATTTCGTGGACCCTCGCTCCCCCTAGCTCCCTCTCTCTCTCTCTCCCGCAGAGTCGGGTCCGCCAGCCTGAAACTCGCAACAAAGAATCCAACAACATCCCACAGGCCATCTCCCGCAGCCACGACCAGAGATGCCCTCAAACATCCCCGGACGTCTGCCAAAACAAGTCCCCGAATCTTGAAAAAAACCCGCAGCGACGCTTCCCCCTTCCCCGCTCTCTTAACCGAATAAAGGGTGCTGAAGAGGTCGGGGAAGGGGAGCCTATCACAACAAAAAGGCTCAAACACCTTAGGGGGGCCATGGGACGCAAGCTTCGGGCGTAAGGCCTGTTTTTGTCTTGTTGGCTGCGCGGCTTCATGTCTCTGAAGGCAATGACTCGCTTGTAGACACGATGCCCGTAGGGAGCTTTCGAGGGATGGGGGGCTTCTGGGCTTCTGGGGTTGAGGCCACTCGTTCCCTCAGAGGTGCAAGGGATGCCCGGACGATTTCGGCCAAGCAGCCGGCGATGGTGCGGGCGCCATGCCAGGCTCGGCGGGCGATGGCGCGGAAAAGACAGCGTTTAAGGCTTAAGGCTTAAGGTTTAGGGTTTAGGGTTTAGGGTTTAGGGTTTAGGGTTTAGGGTTTAGGGTTTAGGGTTTAGGGTTTGGGGGGGGGGGGGGGGGGGGTGTGGGCCTGCGAAAAAGAAGCTTCCACCAGTTGTTGGGTTTTCTATTTACAAGTATGATTTGAACCCGTAGAAGTTCGAAACTTTTTCGGGTTATAAGTACAAGGTTACTCTGCCAACTCCTTAGGGCCCTGGCCGGGCAGAGATGACTCCCAGCTTTGAAGCTTGCGAGGTTATGGTTCGGGGTCCCACCATCTTTTAAGTGCAACCCGACATTGGGGTTTGCCTTGAGCTTTGAAGGGTGCTGTTGGTTTCGGGTTTTGCAGGGAGCTGCGGTCAATGACAGGCGCTACGCGCACGATTCCCTTCTTCAGCCCTCGACCCCGCTTCAGAGCACGGCCGGCACACTTCTTGTGGCTTGAAGGAAGCCCTAACGGCCAAACCCTGAATTGTAATCCCCTAATTAAACCCAAATCCAAAGTCAAGACCACTTTCAAGTCCGGTGGTTGCTTAGGGGGTTTCGAGAATCTTGGAGGAAAGGGAGGTTCCGCAACCCCCCAAATCCGCCCCACCTCCCCCGCCGACCAAAGTGGCCGAGCTCAAGGCTTGGCAAAAGGGGGGGAGGGCTCTGAACATCATGAAAATGCTCAGGGGAGGGCGGGGGGGGGTTGCCCTAAACCCGAAACCCTTGTACCCAAATTCCAAGGTGGTATACATATGAAGATATCCGAATGGTTGAACAGTCGGGGCCTGGAGGGTTTTTTTGGGTGTTGGACTGAGGATGCCACAAGCTGCCACAAACTCTGGTGTTCAACCGGTCAGAGTCATCCTTCTCCGGTGCTAAGGGGGCCCCACATCCCTTAGAAAAAAGAGTAGTTATCGCCACACGTTCATCCCGACAACGCCCCTGAGAAACGAAACCCGGCCTCCCTGGCCAACACGTGCACGGGCGCCTGGCACGGCAGCTTTACGCTTGACAAAGTCTTGAAGGAAAGCGCTTCCCTCAAGTCCCCACACGCAGAGTCAAAGTAGATGTCTTCACGTAGCTTCAGCTTGAAAACCATAGGAAAAGCTCTAGAATCAGGTAGCCATCAGCTGTAGGCTTGGGTTTCCTATAGACTTGCCACTACCGCATATGCCTTGTATCCCTTTTCAAAACACGCACAGGCAGTGCTTGAAATCAACTCAGCTGTTCTTGGTGGCGCAGGTGCCCGCGATGCATCGATGACTCGACAACTGTGTAGATGAATGCTTCAGGTACCCGGCACGACAGCTCACAACTCGTCACAACTCCTTCTCGGTAGAAGGCGAGAGCGGTCTTGATGGCCCGCACCTGCGACTCGTCTTCGAAAATTTTCCACCATCTTTGCATACGCAACGGTCGTCCTTCCACGCACATCCGCGACCTGTTCCGATAGAGTCGCAGTTGTGCCGGTCCTACGGCAGACCATGGTTCGACACGCACACAGTGTCATCTGAGTCCTGCAACGTAGCAGGTGGCAAAGTCACAGTTGGCAGCATTTGCGACTTGACCTGGAATACACCCCATCTTCGCACACGCATGCATTCTCCTTCCACAAACACCCGCGATCCTTGCAAAGAGCATCGCAGTTGCGCTGGTCATACGGCAGACCGCGATTGCTCACGCAAGTGCTTTCGTGGCCACTGGCTCCCCAGACGCTCGCCATGCAAGCTCCCACAGTCAAAATGACACGCATTGCCATCTGCAGAGCCGTGAAGGGGGGTATGGGGACGTTGGGGGCACTTAGAGCCTGCACATTCTCATCATTCTAACCAACGCCGCACATGGCCAACTGGAGCTTGAAACCGTCCTGATTCTCGACAGTTCGGCTCAAACTCAACAACTCCCGGCACCTTCTGGTCAAGAAATCAATACAAAAACCTGTTGGGAGGGGGGGCGGGGGCACCTGCTGGTCGGAAGAGACCCCGAAAGCCTAAACCCGTTCGTCCTTTGAAACACCGGCTGGAGCCGCGAAGAAATTATGTGCTGTTCTAAGCACATATGTGTATGTATGTGTATATGTGTGTGTGTGTGTCACCGAAACGTGATTGCAATCATGAGGATTGTTCTGTAAATGGAAGCGTTCCTTGAGCTACTCACCGTGACAGTGGTTCTTAACTGAGCCGGCTCTAATTCAGACTCGACCTCAAGCGCCCTTGGGCGATGATTTCGTTTGGGGGCTTCGAATGTGCACGGCTGAGCAGAACGCCAAACCTTCAGCGTCTTGAGGGTTTTGAGGGGTCAGGTCTGTGGGCTTCTCAAGAGGTGCTCCAGTGAACGCAAAAGCCCAAAAGAAAGATGCGGCCTTTTGCTAGGCTGCTTTCCTTCTCCTGCTATTCGCGCCTTCTGGTAAGCCAAGGATCTCCACCTTCCCACCCGCAGCCTCCAGCAACTGCTGAAAGGTCTCACCCTTCGCGTCCGCAGGCACAGCCCGGTGAATGCCTGCGGCACTTCGGAACACCAGGGCCGTGTCTTCTTCGCTCTCAGAAACCATCCTGCCGTCCTCATACCAGATGCCCGGCTTCGGCGGCAGCTTGGTGTAGGCGTCCGCGGGCCAGTCCTTGATGAAGACCCGGCATTCCGGCGGCGGCAAGGGCGGAACACCCAAGATTGGGCAGAAGTCTGGAAAGAGGAGCACAGTCTTGCTGTTATAGCTCACATGCTCGCCACAAAGGAGCGTCTTGCAGCACGAGGCGATCATGTTCGTCGAGCGCGCACCATCCCGAAGCCGGTTGAAGGCGATCTGTTCCTTGCCTTAGGTGCACCCTCCCAACCTCTCCCAACCAAAAACCTGAGGCCAACTTCAACACACGGGGGTTTACGAAAATAAGGGACCCCTAAATGCCGAAGTCGTCGGATTCCCTTACAATATGGACCCCAATTCGGTACCCCTAGTTTCGGAAACCCCAGACTCAGAGGAAGGTCCTGGGCCGCTTTCGGTAGCAAGCTGCCTCTCTGCACATCCAGGCTGTTGTCAAAGTAGACGAGGTGCATCGGGCTGCCAACGCCTCATCTGCAAAAGGAACCCAAAAACCCTAAACCCTAAACCCTAAACCCTAAACCCTAAACCCTAAACCCTAAACCCTAAACCCTAAACCCTAAACCCTAAACCCTAAACCCTACCCCCTAAACCCTAAACCCCAAACCGCACAAGGAGCGGAAGCCCTGGGTTCATGCTTTGCGTCCATAAGGGGGGAAACATCTGAGGCCCTGAATCAAAAAAAAACCTCCCATCCCCTGCCCGAACAGTTGCTGTAGGGTTTAGGGTTTAGGGTTTAGAAAGTTTAGGGTTTACGCAGGGTTTTAGGTTTAAGGGTTTAGGGCACACCCATTCTTGGGATGCAGTACGGGGGGCCCACTTCGGGGCATCGAAACTGCAGGGCTGGGCTGAGCTCGAAAAGACCCTACAAGGGTTTAGGGTTTAGGGTGTTAGGGAAGTTACCATACAGTAACATAGGCATTTTCAGAAGCGTCGTACGAAAGGTAACTTTGCGGAAGGTCCTTAGCAGCAAACCGGAACAAACCCGGTCAGGCTGCCATGCGTTCCGAAGCCGGGCGGGCAAGCCACTCCTCCTGCCTCGCAGGACCAAACGTTCCTTGGCGGCCGCGAACTCTACACACCACAAACCTTTAAGACTGCGGTTGTCCGAACCGACTCAGAACAACCCTAAACAAGCCTGTAGCCTCAAGCATTGTTCCCTCTTCTATAAGAAAGTACGCAAGAATCTCCAAACCACCTTCTGACCCTCTTCACCCCGAATCCCCCTCAACCCTGAACCCGAAACCCCCAACCCAAACCCCCCAAACCCCCCAAACCCCAAACCCTAACCCAATACCACTCCAAAGGCACCAGAGGTTTCTCGGGGCTCGGCTTTTGCTGATGGTCGTCTTAAGTCTCTTTTGGCCAACCGTCTGGACATTCTCTCAGGAAACTGGGGATCCCCCCTGCTTTCCAGGAGCCTTGCTAGACTAGTAAGGAGCCCCGAGCCCCTGTAGCCCGTCATCACTCTGGGCTCCCTTCCCAGGGTCAGCTGCTCAGGAGCGCTGCCCCCCCCCAAACCCCCCGCCAGCTGCTGGCTATTTGCAGAGTCTCCATACCTTCCCACTCGTCTGGGTTTAGAGTTGACTGTAAGGTTTACAAGGGGGGTTGACAGGGTTTAGGGTTTTGCTGGTTCGAATGGGGGCTCGGGGTTAAGTTCAGGATGCAAGGTTCGGGAATTGAAGTGGGTAGCTCGATCAGTGTCTTCGTCCAAGCATCTCTTAACATCAGGATCCCCTTAAGATGCTCCCCCTTGTATTCGCCTCGGCTTCCTGCCGAGAAGCATCTGGAACAAGCCCCCCCCCCCCCACAGCCTGTGGGACCAACACGTGCGAATTTGGCTGTTTGGGGGTCTGGCTGGGACCCCCCTTAGGACATTTCCTGAGACCCTCCTGCCACCTCTGGACCTAGGACCTTCTGGACCCTCCTGCCGCACCCGAAACCGGTCTGGCACCCTGCCACGCCCTGTTACCCCCCGCTCCTCGCTTCCTGACTAGAAACCCTCTTTCCTCCTTTCCTGTCCGTGGGCCGGCCCGGCTGCCGAGGCGGCGCGCGTAAGCGTTTACAATTAACATCCCCTAATAGGGATTATAGTAGGGGTACTGTAACCCCTCTTAAGGATTGTTTGACCTCGGGCGCGCTCGCGCTCGCCTGGGATGTCTGAGCACCACGACTCCAAGAGTGACACCGGACACCGTACAATCGGTGGGCGGATATGGTATCCCAATTTTCGGGCACAATATATACACCCACGAAAACTCATTAAGAGCTTCTCACAGAGAAAAATAGGGAACAGTAAAAAAAAAAAACGGCTGGCATCCTGGGATCTCGGCAGACACGTCGCTTTTTGCGGCATGGCTAGCCTTTCCCAGTCAATGGGAGTCCAAGGACTCCCAACTTCAAGGCCCTCCCCCCCAGAACACGAACATTCTAGATCTGCTTCATCTCCATTCGCGTAGTTGTAGAATCAGGGTGGGGCTACAACTACATTGCGTCTCACTCTACTACAGAGGAAGCGGGTTGCTCCGCACGACGCACGAGCTTGCTGCGGGTCAGGACCCGACGGCCGCACGCCGACAGACCAGGGTGACGATGGCAAACAAGAGGCTGGCCGAGGCCACCGCGAGCGCGTGCCAGAGATTGCTGGTGCTGGCCATGAGACTCCCGAGAAAGTAGACCCCGAAGAAGATGAGGAACAGAACAAGCGTTTGCCTGGGTAGATCGGCTGGGTTCGTGCCTTTCCGCTTTCTTTACTATAGGGCCCCTGTAGGGTTTAGGGTTTAGGGTTGATGTAGGGCCTCAAAAAGTATAGACCTTTGGGGTCCCGAATCCCAGGTGCAGGTAGTCGAAGAGGCCACCACGCCAAGGGGCCGCAAAGCGGTCGCAGAGAAAGAGGGCGATCTGGACACTGCCGAAGAACCAGCAAAGGTTGAATCCCAAACAGCCGGCGAGAAACTCCTAGGATCAGGGCTCTTGGAGCCCAGGAAGACAGCAAAAGCCGCCCTGCTCTCTGCATTTCTTCTTGGGGGGGGAGCGGGGAAAGAGGGCGCCGGCTCTCTAAGTTGATTGAATCGGGAAATTCAGTGGGGGCACTCGACATCCGGACTCCGCCTCCAGAAGCCCTAAACTTAAACTCCCCAACTCCTCCCTTCACGAGCTGGTAAGCCCTAAGCCCTATACACCCTAAACTCCCCCAATAAACCTCCCCAAAAATACCCTCCAAAGCAGCCCCCGGCTCGGTCAGCAGCCATTCCATCGGGGCCTCCCTTGCGATCAGGGCCGCCAGAAAATCCAGAGAAAGCCCGAAGGGCACTCCCACCAAAAGCACCAGGTACCTGTTGGTTTATAGGGCTTCGGGTTTAGGGTTTAGGGTTTAGGGTTTCGGGTTTAGGGTTTAGGGTTTAGGGTTTAAGCAAACAGGCACCTGTTGGGGAGCTGGAGATACCTGTATTCTGGCGATTCTTCTCAGGCCCCTCCCCCACCTCAGCGGAATGGTTGTGGGCTTCGAGGCCAGCAGCTCTTGGCGCAGAGATCCCTGCACATAAGCGGTGAATGCCTCGGCACTTCCATACCATGCGCGGATGGCTGTGTGGATGAAGTCATGGTCAAAGTCGCTCTCGCACCTGGTCAAGGGCCCAGTGAACGAACGAGGCTACTTAGTTGAACCTGGGGAGTCCATTCAGCTTTGGGTTTCTATTATAGCAGGTTCCATAACTCAGATCAACCCTTTTGTTTGTGAGTTTCAAAACACCTCCTGCCTGGCTTCGGCGAGCGTGAAGAAACGCAAACCTTCGAACAGCTGATGTTTCGCGAGGATGTTCCTGCGCAAGAGGTGCATGAGGACGTAGATAGGCAAGAGGCCGACCACATAGACGACGTAGATCCCGAAATGTTGCAAGGGCAGGGCAAAGACGAAGAGGAAGGCCGCGAAGTATGCCCCAAGAATGCAGATGCAAGCGCCGCATTCCACAAATAGTGGCGACAAGACCACGCGCCCAGAGGGATTTGCCGTGCGGTATGCGGCCAGTTCGAAAATGCACCAGAGCCTGCAGGGCCCAACAGCTCAGTCACGACTCGTCAAACCGAGCGAATCAGTTTCGAACCGAACTGATCGACGGTCGACTCGACAGCAGCACTGGACCAGCACTGGATTCTCATGGAAAGTACATCCTACAGTCCCACCAGGAGACACCGAGCGTTTTCCGACTAGCCTTGGCCGAGGGCGTAGTACCCTGCCTTGTGAAAACAGCAATCAGCCCTACTTTCTGCTTTCTCCTCACCACGGCAAAGCTTTTTCTCTGTCGAATTCAGCATTTTCGCCGCTCCGTCTTCAACAGGGCATGGCCAATCATAAACAACGATCATCCCGAACATCGTTCCAAAACAACGGTTGCAGAGCCTCGGCTCTTTTTATCTGCTTTGCGCTCTGGTTGCCGAACGTTTCCATCCTGAACCCGAAGCTTGAAGCGAAGAACAATTCTAGAGGCTTCCGATGGTTTCCGGTCCCAAGGCGTTCTTGTCCAAACCCTGTCGAAAACGTGCCTGAAAATTTCGCTTCAGCTGATGGGACGATTTCTCGTGTCCGCGCGCCGGGTGCGATTCCATCTGCTTGTGTTGTTCTCTCTTGCATTTGGCCCTATGCATGCTTGGTGTCTCCATGTCTCCTTACATCCTCAACCCCTTGTTAAGACCCTAAACCCTGCATGGACGAGGATCCAATCGAACTAACCTTAAACCCTAAACCCTCTCTCTCCCTAAACCCTAAAAACCTGCCCCAAAAACTGCCCCACACACTGCCCCAAAGCATGTCCGAGCCTGGAAAGGTATGGCGCACTCCACAAGACCTGCAGCTCCTTGGACACGTGAAGGAAGCCGCCGATACCTCGAGGGGGGGGCATAGTGCCTGTTACGGGGCTTTTAGTAGCAAAAGGTTCTACGATCCCAATTTTAGGGTTCATTTTTGTCCCCCCAAGGTACTGTAGATCCCTCGCTCCATGAGCTCCCGATCCGTCTGATGGATGCTGGCCACGTCCAGGAAGCAGAGGGGGCGCCGGGCGCAGGCGCTGGGCGCGTAGGGTGAGAGCAGGAGACCCAGGCCGTGGCCCAGGAGGGAGCCCAGCAAACACCTTGAGGCTGCACTCAGCTGAGGGTAGCTGAAAATTATAAAACTTATATAGCTGCCTTATTAAGAAACCCAAAAAAGGGTCTAGGATCTAAAGTTACAGTAAAGTACCACAAAGACACCAGGGCCCACAGGAGATCGTGGCCCCGTCGAAGTTGGACCTGTAGGGGATAAACAAGGGGAGCAGCTTGTGCGTGGAGGCCAGGAGCATGAGGGAGGCCCCCACAAACCAGCCAAGGAAAGAGAACCTCCAGCCAGATTGGAAGAACAGGCTGAGGATCTTCCACTTCCCCGGCGTGTGCCAGGTGTGTGACAGGAAGATGTCGAAGGTCGAGGCAGGAGCCGACATCTTCCACAAGCCGGTCCGGGCTTCTGGGGACAGTGCGAGCGGGGACTTGCGCCAGAGAACCCCCAAGTGCCAGAGGGTCTTCTGGAGAGGGATACCACGCATGATCTCTTCATCCACTTCGAGGTGCCTCAGCTGCTCCAGCCTACTCCGCTTCCCTGGCCTGCTTGACGTGGTTGATGTTAGTGGCAGAACAGGAAGCGACGGCAAATCAATAGCCTCAACTGCCCTGCCATAGTCAACGTCTTGAAGGTCGGCGCCCTCCTCTTCCGTGGCGAAGCCCCTCTTCCTGGCAAAGGCCTTGCCCTGCTCCGCAGAATCCCCTGGTGGCGGCGCGTCTTCGCACGCTGCGCAGCATGTCCAGCCAAGCTGCATGGTGTTTCCGTCTGGACTACTAGTGACTATATATATATATATATGTATATACATACATATATATATATATAGTATAGCTCTAGCGCGCACATAATGACGGGAAGACTGGGGCTGCAAAGAGAGCTTTGGGGCACAGGGAGCTGGCATCTCGAGGTTCTGCGAGCATGTAGCTCCGCTTACGGCTCGACACCATCGTTGAGCCAACGGCATCTGCACGCTTCTGAAGAACGTCCCCTTTTGTCAGCCCCTCAAGAGCAGCCCCACGAGGCCCTGAAGCCTACAGGGCAGACTGATGGAAAACATGGAAAACCTGGTGGACAAATGCTTGAATGCCAGCTGGAAGTGTGAATCATGTGAAGGACCCTCTTGTCTCACTGTTTGTTCACTTTGTTTCACGTTTTCTCGTCTAGAAGGATTCTTTAGGGTTTTCCGCTGCTGCGAGGCTCTTCTGGTAGCAGTCCACACAGCAGCACTCCAACGCGCACTTCGGCAAAGTGCTGGCGAGCCCTCGGCAGGGCGCACACGAACATGCTTTTCAGTTGCAAGTTTTGCAACTTATGGCAAGCCAAAATCCGAAAAATGACAAAGACAGAAACGCTTCCACCCGCTGTGCCCCAAAGTATCTGATGGCCACGGTGCCGCAGCGGCACTGGATGGATGCCATTTTCGGCAAAATGCGGTGTGGGGCGACTTAGGCCCTGAGGTGCTTTGCTGGCGCTGCTTTTGGCGTTTACCTTAAATTGAGGGTTTAGGGTTTAGGGTTTAAGGTTTAGGGTTTAGGGTTTAGGGTTTAGGGTTTAGGGTTTAGGGGTGCACGCCTTTTGGTGGTACACTTGAGTTCAGGGCTTGGGCCACCCCCCTGGGTCCAGAGCGTCCTGCTTGCCAGCGGGCTTTGAGCCACCATTCATGCTGAGGAGGGCTTGAAACCCCCATCTCAAGCTAGGTGTGGCTTCAGGGCCCGAAACCTTTTACCCTCCTGTAACCGGCTCCGGCCCGAGAAGCAAAAGAGAAGCGAAGAGAAACCCTAAACCTTTCTGCAACGGGCTCTTGAGTCAACCCTAGACCCTAAACTCCCTAAACAAACTCCGTAAACTCCCTGAACTCCCTAAACCTCCCAAAACTCCCTGAACTCCCTCAACTCCCTCAACTCCCTAGAGCCAGCTGCCAAAGGCCCTTTTCTACTCCGCCAGGCTTGCCTTGATGCTGCGGCTCTGTGCGCCCTCGGGCAGGTGGAGCGTGTCGACCTGGCCCCCGGCCGCTCGCAGGAGCTGCTGAAAGGTGAGAAAACCGCTGGCATCCTGAGACATCCTGGGCTTCATTAGGGGTTTCATTAGGGTTTAGGGGGCTTAGGGGGTTTAGGAGGTTTAGGGTTTAGGGTTTTAGTAGGGTTAGGGTTTAGGGTTTCGTGCTTTAGGGCCTAGGGCTTTAGGGTTTAGGGGTTTACGGTTCCTTCCGCTACCGTTTGCGACGTTCCCTTCGTATTCGGGGACTCTGCGAAGGTCGTGAAAAAATGACAGGGTTTCCGTGTGAAGGTATAACCGTTCGTGGTTTGGAGGGGAATACATCCGGTACAGCGACATCCTTGCAGTGCAAGCCAACCCTCTGAAACCCTCTGAAACACTTGAGCCGCGCAGGACACCGGAACGTGCCTTGGCTCGGATTTACACTCGAGGACTCCTTGGGGTTGAGGGTCTCAAGTTCAAGGTTCCAGCCTGACCCATATGCCCCCCCCCCCCCCCCCCAAAAGCCATCGAACGCCTGAACCCCAAAACAACGGTGCGGGGAGGGTTGGAGCCCACACACAAGGAAAGTCACAGAGAGAAGAGTGCGGGAATCCAACATTCGCAAGAGTCATGCTCCGGTTTCAACAGCACGCGGGTGATTTCTTATGGGAACTTCATGATGACTTCATGTTTGCGAGCTCTTGCACCAGAGCCGAGCATCTTCGCCCGCACGGCTTCAGTGTTTCTGGCCACCGCGACCTTGTCTTCCTCCGTCTCGGCATGTAGCCTCCCATCCTCCCGCCAAGTCCCCGGCAGGGACGGCAGCTTGGCGTAGGCCTCCGCGGGCCAGTCCCGGATGTGAACCCGGGAAGCCGCCGGCAAGGGCTCCAGGCCCGAGATCGGGCAGAAGTCCGGGAAGAGGAGCACAGATTGGCCCTCGTACCGTGGGTGCTCCACACACAGGAGCGTCTTGCAGCACGCCGCGATCATGTTGGTGGAGAGAGCGCCATCCCGAAGTCGGTTGAAGGCGATCTGCTCCTTGCCTTCGGCGCACCGAAGCACCCTCCCGACCTCTCCCCCCTTTGGACAGGACATCCCAGAAACTCAACCCCCCAAGTCCCAGAAGCCAACCGACGACGAGCTGCCTCTTCGCACGTCGAGCAGGTTGTCAAAGTAGACAAGGTACATCGGATTTCCGATGCCTCGGCTGACCAGCGCCAGGAATACGAGGCTGGAAGCTCGTGGTAGTTACGATTCTCTGGGGGCTTCTAAGGTAACCCTACCTATCAGCTGCTTGTGATGTCACCTTAGTTGGGGTCCTTACTACCGGCGGGGACCCACGAACCTTCAAGCATTTGGCAGGGGAGTTGCCGTGAACCCCGTACCCTGCGGGGTACGCCACGCCCCCTGCCTCGCAGGACCACACATTCCTCGGAAGCCACGTGGAGTCTGCATCTTTAGAACATGAGAACCCTTCACCTTCCTCCTGACATGACAAACACCCCCACATGGTTTTGGGGTGGGGGCTTAATTGGAGGGCTCAATGGGCCGGGACAAACAGTGCAAGGCGACACTCTGTTTTTAGGGGTGGGAAGTGTTTCTAGCATCCGAATGCGACCCAAGCCATTTCAGACCCCTCGTTTCAGAGTACGTAGTCCAACTTGAGGGGCCTGGACTTGCAAGCTAGGTTCATCGGCCATAACGTCCTTGTTCGGGCTTCAGATCCCAGGTGCTAAGACAGGCGATTGGACAACTGAGGGCTCAGGACTTAGGAAGCTGTCAAACCAAAGACGTAGGCTTTGGGCTTGCATCTCTGTTCGTTGAGGGCTACACAGTTTCCATTGCTTCACTCGGCCCCTAAGTTTAAGCCGTTTGGGCTTCGGGTTTAGGGTTTCTTGTTGAACCTCCCCGAAGTCCTTGCCCCAAACCTCAACTTAGAGTTCTTAAATGAAGGGGGTTCAAGGGGGGTATGTAACCCAAGGTTCCCTAATACTCCCTACTACTCCCTAAGGCTCCCTAAGCTTCCCTAGGCACCTACCCCCTTCCCCAGGTGAACGAGGCTCTTCTGGTAACAGTCCACACAGCAACACTCCAACGCACATTTCGGCCGAGCGGTAGCAAGCCCTCAGTGGGCCAGAACCATGGAGATCCCTAGTCGAAGGTTGGTCCACAAGCGTTTTCAGAAGGGGATGGATTGGGGAGAAGAGTCCGTTGAAATCTGGCGTCCTACAAACAAAAGGAGCCTGCAAGTAAGCACTGAACAATACTACAACTTCACTACTTGAGGCCCCGTGGCGAAAGCTGTTCTAGCATGGAAATCCGTCCCAGAAGCCTTCGTGGGGGGTTTCCGGAAAGTAGGCTGCCTATTTTGGCGGTTCCTCTAAACAGGAACTATAGAAACACGTCCCCTTATGACCCGAAGCCCCAAACCCAAAAAGGGCTGCTGTGACCCCAGGTGTCGGACAGCCACCGCACGGCAGCGGCACTGGATGGATGCCATTTTGCAGCGGTGTGTGGACGGCGCACGGCTTTGGGAGGAAAACTCTACGGGCAAAAAACCCCCAAACACCCTCTAGGGTGTTGAAGTCTGGCCCGTTCAGGGTTAGGGTTCAGGGCTTCTGTTGCCTAGGTCCCCCAAAACCCACTGGAGCCTGTTCTTGGGTTCCGGGCTCTATGGGCTTCAAGCTCGAGGCTCGGAATGCTGCAGGGGCTTCGAGGGTTTAGAGTTTAGGGTTGAGGGTTTGGGGTTTTAGGGCTTGGGGCTTAGGGCTTCGGGTTAGTCGCTCAGTACTTGCAGCTACCACAAAAGGAACACCCCCTTCTGAACTCAGACTCTTTGTCGCCTCAGAGAGCAGGAGCGCACAGCTATGCCGGCTATCTCTGAAGCTTCAAGTAAGATTACCCTTTGCTTCAAGAGGGCCGAGCACGCTGTCGGTCACAAACGGATAAACCCTAATAAGCCCCATACCCTAGACCTTAAAACCCCGAGGTGGAGTTGCATGTAGTTGGGAGCTTCGCCCGCCTTCGGCAGAAACTGTGCACAACCATCACTGCCGTCCTCGGGCACGGGCTTTCTGATTTCCGCCCCCCCCCCCCAGCGTAAGGGGTTTTGGGTTTAGGCTTACACAGGGACACTTCACTTCCAAGCAGGGAGGGCATAGCGGACTTCAAGACGACCCTCCCCCATCATAAGGAACCAGGCAAGTGTAAGGGAGGAGGTTGGGGGGGGGGGGGGGGCGGGCGGGGGTGTGATCTCTGAGGGCGCACGGTTTGTTTTTTGCCTCCCGCCTAGCTGAAGGGTTTGAAGGGCATTTTTGGAGAAGAGAGGGGGCCCTTATAGCCACTCTCCCTTACACACCGCTAGTTCCCTCTGACCTTTTGACAACGCCAGCAGCAACTTGATGATTCCATGCCACCCAGGCCTGAAGAAAAACGTAGTAACCGACGTGTTTCAGTTGGAATCATCAGTGGGACTCCTGAGCCTGAAGGGTTTCGAGCAACTCAACAGGGAGCTAGAATGACGGAGTGACTGATCCATCTACTTCTTCTCCCAACCCCTCAGACTTCTCTCACAAAGCAGGCTTCGAAGCTGAACCCCAAGGCCCCACAGGCCCTGAACCCCCTCAGCCCTTAAAAAACCCACAGCGGAAACTGCCCGAGCTTCCACAAGGGCTCATTCGTGCCACAGAGGATTTAGGGAACCCATGGAGGAGCCGGAAACCTCAGGCCATGTAAAATCCCATGGCCCTGGAATCCCCCTTGCACACACTCAAAGCCCTAAAGCCACAAGCAGAAGACGCTCAAAAGCTTTTGAGGACCCTGAAGCCCTTCAGAGCCCTAAACCCTAAACCCTAAACCCTAAACCCTAAACCCTAAACCCTAAACCCTAAACCCTAAACCCTAAACCCTAAACCCTAAACCCTAACCCTAAACCCTAAACCCTAAACCCTAAACCCTAATCCGCTCAGTCAGGCTTCAGATGTCTCAGGGAGGATCCACGCCACCGGGTCTTGTGGCGCTTAGGGTTTAGGGTTTAGGGTTTGGGGTGGAGGGTTTAGGGTTTAAGGGTTGAGGGTTAAGGGTTTAGGATTTAGGGTTTAGGTGCTTAGGGTGTCTAGGGTGTTTAGGGTGTGTAGGGTGCTTAGGGTGTTTGTTGGGTGCTTGGGGTTTTGAAACGGAGGAACAACTCTTCAAACAAACTTGGGCCAGATGCTTGCGGAGCCGAGCCCGGACCAAACGCTTGGGGTTTCAGACTTTGACGCTGGGATCTCTCACAAAACTCCGTCGAGATGCTCTTCCAAAAAAAAGGATCAGGCTTTCAGGATCTTTCTTGCGTGGTTGGGGTTTAGGACTTACGGATTCAGTGCTTAATTAAGAGCTCTTTGGTGCAGGGTGAAGGGGTTGCAAGGATTGAGGGTCGAGGCAGAGGGATGTCTCAGCCCGTCTTTCCGTCTGGACACGTCAGGGCTGGAAGATTCTAGACCCGTGTTCATTCCTGGCAAGGTTTAGGGTTCAGAGATTAGGGTCACCAAAACCAGGCTCGGAACTGTTCCTTTTTAGGGTTGGGGACGAGGGCACCAGAAACAAGCTCGGCTCGGAACTTAAGTTTAAACCCCCCTTGTGCCAAGCTCCCAAACCACTTGGTCGCCGCCCCCTTCCAAAATGGCAAACACCTTGGAGACCGTTAGGTCATATTGCGCATCCTGAACACGGTCATCCGAATCACTAGGTGCCTTCTGCCTCTCTCTCTCTCTCTCTCTCTCTATCTCGCCCCCCTCCACTCTCCCTCTCCCACTCTATGGCACGACTTGTCTTAGCTGCACTTCGCGAACCCTCGCTACGGCTCACGCACAGCTTTACAAGGCACCGGAACTGCCCACTCCTGGCACTTTCTTTCCCTCTCTCTCCCCTCCCCCTCCCCACAGCAGGAATGAACATCTCTTCTCCGCTTTCTCCTGCCATTCCTGAGAATGAGCAGTGGTCTGATGTCAGAAACCGTTCAAATCCCCAGTCCCCATCAGCATCCGTTGTGATTCCCCTTTCAGCATGCTCAAGGAATGCTATAAAATGAATCAAGTGCCGCTGTGCCGCTGTGCCGCTGTGCATGCTGAAAGGTAGGATGGTAAGGTACAAAATGGGGTTTGGGGGGACCATTACGAGCCAACGCCTGGCAGGAGACAAAAACACACCTGACAGAGAGAAGGCCTGGACCTCCCCCGGAGGATGGAGGGGTGCCAACCTGGTTCGTTTCACCTAGTGGCCTGCCCGCCCATGAGAAAACGGATGCAGAGGGGATCCCTGTACAGTGGTTTCATGACATTTTGTCTAAATGTACACTTGCAACGTGTCCTACTCAGGCCTCAGTCTGTTAACTCGGCATCCTCCGTGAAGAGCATGGGCTTGAAATAGGCCTCAGAGGCTGGCCCAACCAAAAAAAAACCTCTCCCTAAACCCTAAACCCTAAACCCTAAACCCTAAACCCTACACCCTACACCCTACACCCTACACCCTAAACCCTAAACCCTAAACCCTAAACCCTAAACCCTCAACCCTCAACCCTAAACCCTAAACCCTAAACCCTAAACCCTAAACCCTACCCAATTTCCCCAAGCGCCATCCTCTTGAACCCCAAAAGGAGAGACAAGATATCCGAAGCGGCCCTACTTAGGGCATTGACAAGACGAAGGCCTCGGAGCTACCAAGAGGCGTTCTTGACGCGAGCGCTGCCCGGCTTCTTGAAGTACTTGGACATGTTCGCCTGTTTTTGCTTGCCACCCGTCTAGCCTATCTGGTTTAGGGTGTGGGGTTTTAGGGTCTAATGAGGGGTTGGGGTTTAAAATATAGGGTTTCGGGGAGGTTATTGTAACTTTGGAAGCTATCTTGATTCGGAGACGGTGGTGGTTGCAAAGTTACAAGTAGGGTTCTTGGGAAGGTAGGGCTCCCCAACTCCTGGGCGGTCTGAAGCGGACGACGTACAGGATCCCTAAAGTCTCCTGATTAAAACTCGGTTGCAACCCATTCCATCCATGGTTCACCCGACTCTGCCCCGTGGAACCCGCCTGATAGCCCTGCGTCTTTGCTGGCGCCACCTCCAAGATCTTGCTGGTTGGGTAGCGGTTCAGGCGACGATGGTGGAAGGCCAGTGCGAACCTCAGCAACAGGGGCGGATCTCGGTGCCAACCTCAAGCTACTTTGGAGGGAACGCCGAGACCCCTCAACCTTCTCACCTCCACCTCCATGGCAACAAGTGGCTCCTCCGCCTCCGCGCTCGAGTGGAAGTTGATAAATCCATATCCACGGTTTCGCTTGGTGGTGAAATCGATGGGAAGGTAGAAGAAATCGAACCTACAGTAGGAGCACGAAACATGCAACATGCCTCTCCTGCAGCAGAAAGCTTTGTTCCTCATGGAACTGTCACCGCAAGGCCTTTGGTTCTCTTTCTCTATTTGGGGGAGCGGGGGGGGGGGGGGTTGGCCATGGGCCTGTGCAAGATGATGGCTGTTTTATGAGGGACCACCAGTACTGTCTCAAGCCAGGAGGCGGCATGTGGTCGAATCCTGCGTTCATGATCTCAGCCAGGAGCTCCTCGCAAGTGTATCGATTGGGGACGTTGCGGAGCATGACCTCGGCCAGGTGGGCACAAGGGACCCTTCATGTAGACCCCCAAAGAGTAGGGGATTCCCTTGTAACAAGCACCCCAAGAAGGTTCAACCAGCCTGCAATTCATAGCCCTGCAATCAAGCCACGGTGGTCACGTCATCCGGCATGCCGGTGACGGTCTGCACACTGGGGACCTCGACGATGCTCTTTTCCTGGCTGCCCGTGCCCCCTGCAGCTGCCTTTGGTCGCCTCAACAAAAAAAGGAAACCTCCGAAGCCTGAATCTGGCCCAGTACCACGGGCATGTTTAGAGTCTAGAGCCTCGGGCTCCGTGCTCAACCTCGCTTTTCTTTATCTTGGCAGCCCAGCATGACTGGCGTCCAGATGCGTCCAGGCCACCTTTCGGGAGACCCTCCCCTTGCGACGAGGAGCCCGCCTTGGCTGGGCAGCCAAGAAGCGAACAGACGGTTGCACTGAACAGCCAAAACCTGGAATCGTGGAGCAGTTTAATGCCGAAAGTTTCACGGCAGCCCAACAGTGAAACTCGAGCCCAGACAATGTAAGCTTCAGGCAAAAACTCAGGCCAAGCAGAAGCTTGATTCATCTTCACTCCAAGGTCGCTCGGCAAGATGGCCCAGGAGAAAAGTCTACTCAACACCTGCACCCTAAAGCCCCTACATCCTTAACTCCCAAACCCCCGAGCCCCAAACCCCCCCGACTCCCCCAACAAAAAAAAGTGACTGCGGCCAAGAGGCTCCACGGCCCGGCTACCTCCTGCCAGTGAGGATAGGATTTTGGGCTCTCAAACTGATGGGGCCCTTTTTTGAGGCTACTAGGACGGGTTTCCCAGAATCTGGGAGGAGCCAAAAGCAGATCCCCTTAAGGGTTCCTAAATGACCCAATAGTACATTGTAGTATAGGGTATAGTAGAGAGTACTATTGGGGGGTTCTAGTGGTTGGATGCTCCCAGGTGCCTGGATTTTCGGAAGGCCATGAAACGGCTTTCCGAAAATTGCGGGATAACACGATTTTGGGAAATTACGATTTGGGATTGCAGGGAGATAGGGCCTGATAGGGTGCCACAATGATTCCAACAGCCCTGGGTTCTGAAACGGTAGATGGTTCTAGGATTCTACTGGTAGGGCATAGGGGTTCGAAAAGCGTTGGGGATACTTGAACAGATGGTCACTTCTCTAAAGTCTGGTCCCGTTAGGGTTTGGGTATGTATAAGGCAGCCCCTCTTGAATTCTGTGGCTCTTCTTCTTCCGGCCCTAAGGTCTCTCCTTTCTTAAAGCACGGACTGACGAGGCTGCCGGCAACACCTGAAAGCAGGGCCTTCTTGCCTTTAACAAGGGTTGCATCAACAGGCGAGACTGAACCCGAAGCCCTGAACCCTAAACCATAGTCAGCTTGCTTGGACTGGTTGAGGCTGGAACACCATGAGACCCAAAAGGCCTTTCCTTTCTTTTTTCGTGGGGGGCCATTGCACATGCCCCAGTTTGTGAGCCTGTGCCCTCAGGGTTTAGGATTTAGGGTTTAGGGTTAGGGTTTAGGGTTTGGGGCCGCTGATGCTGTCCCCGAGGAGCCCTGGTCAAGGGAACTCCCACATCGATGACATCGATCCCTCCTCCTTCCACCCTGTGGATCATGTGGGCTAGGACTGAGACTGCGTGACACGCTGCCCCCCGGGTTTCAAAGGTGCTTGTGATGAGCCTTGTGATGACCACTTGCTTTCTTTTTTTCTTCCCCTTCACAGGGCTTAGGGGGAGCCTCTCCCCTGCCCAGCAAGCACGCACTCATTTGGCGTAGTCGTAGGAGGTGAAGACCGTACTGCTGTAGCAGATCAACCCAAACACCACTCCCCTCTCCGTCTCTCTCTCTCTCTCTCTCTTTCTCTCTCTCGCTCTCCTTCGTACTTGGAGGTTCCTGTACTTATTGAGCAACTAGTACTCTACTTATAACTGTACTTATAACCATATTAGGGCACTTAAGGGGCTTATAACATCATTGGTTAATAAGTACCATGAACCTCCCAGTACCGGCCCAAGAATGCGCCTGTGGGCAGCTCGACTGGCTTCCGAGAAGCCTGCGACGCGCCGAGCCGGCCCATGAGAGCGATGGCTCTTTTGGGGCTTCGGGTTTAGGGTTTAGGGTTTAGGGTTTAGGGTTGCGGGGCTCAAAAAAGGCCAACGGTTGACCAACCATGTGATCACAGTGTGATGGCACTGTAATGACATTGTGAGAACATTGCGATAGCCTTATGATAACTCTGTGAAGTTCTCTGCGTCCCTGCCTGGTCCAAGAGATCCGCGTCCGTCGACTGGGGCACAATCGACATGCTGGCACCTGAGGTCGACAGCTGGAACTCAGGAGCACCGGGTTTAGGGTTTAGGGTTTAGGGTTTAGGGTTTAGGGTTTAGGGTTTAGGGTTTAGGGTTTAGGGTTTAGGGTTTAGGGTTTAGGGTTTAGTGTTGCGAGGCATCCGATGAGGAAGAGTGCCTATGTCGCGACAGAGGTGTCAGCTTCCGAAGGCACTTTGCTTCTTTCTTTCGCATGGGCTCAGTTTTGGTAACCGTTTTGCCTGAGAGGAATCTGCAGAAATCAGACAAACTGGTTGTGGGTCCGATAGGATTTGGACTGACGGTTTACTTTCCTCATCTTTCCTCCTGCCTTGTGCCTGGACCGTGATGTGGTTTTGGGGTTTATTTTGGGGTTTAGGGTTGGGATGGCGAAACCTCCCCAAAGAAGAGGGACCTCCATGCTGTTGGGTAATCTTGCCAGAGTCCCCGAAGCTGCAACACAAAAAACGAAGCGCAGCCGGGCTGCTGCAGAGCTCCTGGTGCGACATCGCGGGTGTCGGGGTTGAAGCCGGCTCTTGGGAGCCCAACACTTCTACGATGTCCCTTGTCTCAAAAATGGCTCTGAGCCCGCAGAGTGGGTGCAGTCAAGCCGGTAGACTTTAATTCGGGGTCTCTGGGCTTGGGATGAACTCACGGCTTCGTTGCTTGTATGACAGCAGGATAGAGAGAGAGAGAGAGAGAGATATATATATATATATATGTACACACATAGATATATATATATATATGTGTATATATTTGTTGTTAACAGTTCTGTTAACATGCCCCCTTCATGATACGAGGGCTCCCCAACTCGAGAAAAACCTCCCCAAAGAAAAACAAGCTATCCTAGAAACTATGGCCCTCCAGCCCCTATGCCTCCGGGTTGGAGAAAAACCCAACAAGCCTTAAGCCCAAAGCACCAACCCCAAACTCTAAACCCTAGGCCTAAACCATAAACCCTAAATCGTTACAACCATGAACACATCATCCTAGACCCTAAACCGTACTGATCCTTTTGCATCCAGGTACGAATCCTAAACCCGTAAACTCTAAACTCAAAAGCGCATAAAGGGGGGTTTTATGTATGTTTTTCCATATACATGACCACTGATGCACATATGTTTAAGTATATCTTCACTAATACATACATATAGACAACTGAAAAATGTACATGAATGAAAGCAAGCATAAGCAGATAAGAAACGAGGCAAAACTACAGAAATGTAAATAGGATGGGTAAACATAAACACATGTAACTAAACATTGCCAATGAAATGCAGAGCAAAGAAAGGCATAGACAACTATCTATCTTTTGAACGATGCATATATACAATTATGCATTTATGCATTCTGGTTTTGTAACTCTATACAGCCACATATTTGCCATCGTGGAATTTATAGATTTATTGACCCATTGTTGTATTGATCTATTGAGCTGTCGTTCGTGATTCAGCCATCTAGTCAGGACATCGCCAGGTTGTGATTTATCGGTTTCTTGGTTATTGGTTTCTTGATTCGGCTTCTTCGTGTTGCTCTTTGGTTCTGACTTGCTAGTTTGTTGCTTTCTTTGCTCCCTACTTCTGGATGTATCTGTTTGCCTACTTGCAGCAACTCTTTTGGCTCCTCGCTCGGTGCAGATATGCCGTGACAGCCTTGTGGACAGGACGGTCTCGCGAGACATGCCTGGAGGGAGTATGGAACTATAACGGCAAGACAAAGGCATCCTCCAAGGAGCAGATCGCAGCATTTACAGATGAAGCTTGTGTTCAAAAGGCGACCTGTTGTGTGAAAACAGAGAGATCTCTTCGCAACAAGTCAGTCGGATCTGTCCAAAATCCCCTTCACATGTTCGACCACCGGAAACTCCAGTCCACATTGGAGCCATTCTTCTGAGCGCCCTCCTGGAAGTAGACTGGGGACACGAAAGCCCGAGCCCCTAAATGCACAACTTGTGCACGATCCCCTGAACACTAAACGTTCACAGAAGCCTAAACCCCCCAAACCCTAATTCACCAAGCCTTCTGAGGTTGACCCGCACACCCTTATCCAGAAGGTGGAGAACCCTGAGCCTGAAGTCGCATTGCTGAACATGATGGACAAGGGCAAGACCGAGCCCCCTCACGCCCAACACCTTTAAAGCTGTAAACCTGAAGCCCCTGACCCCTTTTTTTCCGCTCCCCCGTTGCTAAGAGTCCTTCTGGCGGAGCCCCGAGGGCCAATACCCAGCCTGGCTGCAACAGCACCTGGCAGAGATTTAAGGTTTAGGGTTTAGGGTTTAGGGCTTAGGGCTTCAGGGCTTAGGGTTTAGGGTGAACCGCACCGCAAGGAGCAATTTCAGGCGCTCAATCAACAACCAAAAGCTGTGTTAGGGTTTAAGGGTTACAGCTTTGGAGCGTTTAGGGGTTTAAAGGGTTTTGTGCTTTGGGCTTAGGTGAGTTGAGAGGTTGTTCAAGCATGTCGGTCCCATTTTTTTTGCGGTGGGGGGGGGGGGGGGCATCTAAACCCTAAACCCTCAACCCTAAACCCCTAAACCCTAAACCCCAACTCCCGCCTAGCCTGCGGAAGGTCATCACTCTGGAAGGAAGTCTACCTTAGCCTTAGTCCTCCAAACTCTGAAGCCTAAAAAACCCCCCTAAAACCCCGAGAACCCTGAGGCTTTCAACCGAAAAATGCCCAAGCC